TAGCTTTATAAGTACAAAAGATCGACTTTAACGGGATTAGGCTTTTAAAAAAAATTATATAATACGGTATACTTTTTAATTATATAATATACGTAATATACCCTAAGTACGCACTTAATATAATATAATAATTTTAATATAAAAACCTTTATATAATTCGGGATAAGTAAGCTACCCTATTACTTATTAATAATAGGCTAAGTAATATACTTACGTAGTAATACTAATTAAAAAAGTTAATAATAAAGGTTAGTTATAAAAGTTAGAGGCGGCCCTTAAATTATAGAGGTTTTAAACTTTAATAATAACGTAGAGGCTTCTAAAAAAAAGGGCTAAAATAGCTAATATTTAATAGAGCTTATAAAAATTCTTTTTATCCTTATTTATTTTAATATTACCTAAAGCTCTATTTAAACTATATAAATTTACTACATAAACTTATTAAACGAACTTATTAATATATGAACTACTATTTATTAAAAACCTATTCTTTTAGTATATAGTTAGTAATTAATAAGCTAGGACTTTTTAAAAATACCCCTTAATAAGTCCCCCCCTCTAGGGCTTAATAAATTTTTAAGCCCCCTTAACGCCCTAGCTATCATAACTAACGTAAGTATACTTAAGGAGTAGTATAATACTTTTTAATAATATAAAATCTAATTAAGTAATAATATAAACGTTATAAATAGCCGGGCTAATACGGATATTAAGATTTAATATATTAATATTAACTTAAAAATTAAATTTTATAAAATTAAAAATCCCTTTAATATAGGCTATATTATAAATATAAAAAAATATATAAGAGATCTCCTAACCCTTAATAAAAAGGGATATATAATACGGGATTTAGCTACTTACGTAAGCTAAGATTAAGAGGTTTTATATACTTTAAAATAGGTATAGCTCGCCCTCTAAACGGCTAGAAATAATAAAAGATCGGGAGCTATTTTAATTAGTAATTAAGTATAGAGCGTAATATACTTAGTTTTCTTTAATACGTAATATATAGTACGGCCCCGGTAGATTGCTCCGTCGGGGGGATATAATATAATATATTTTTTAACTATTTATTTTAATATTCTACCTTTACTAGCTACTTAGGCGATTCTCGATGTCGTTTATACGGTATTAATATACGGTATTAGTAGATACTTATACTATCTTAGTAAACTATTGTTTTTTTTTTAAATTTCTTTCCTCCTTTTTATCTTTCCCTCTTATAAAGTTTATAACTACGGATTATTAACGGCGATATTAGGCGCCCGACGCTACTACTTTATAAGCCCCCGCACTTAGCTAAGTTAGCTACCTTTCTAAGTAATAGTAGCTTATAATAGTATAGAATCGGAGATACCCTCGTCGCTATTATTAAATAATGTCGACCTCTATAAGTATAATATTTACCCTATTTTAACTTTACTTATATATATATATATATTCGTTACCTTATTTCCTTTATTAAAGTCGAAAAACGCTACTTCCCTCGCCGTTACTATTACTATTACTATCTAACCGTCTACCTTAAGTATACTTTATTAAAATACTAAGACGCTAACTCGTCGACCCTTAGGGCTTCTTCGATAACTAAAAGTTCGATCTTATAAGTATTATATTAGACAACCCCGAGCTATAGAGAGACTACCTTAATAAATATTATATTAATAATATCGATTTATAGAAGATAGATAGATATATTATAATAAGCGTCGCCCTTATTAGTACTTTTTTAATATAATAGAGTGTAAATAAGCCTAGACTTAATAGTATAATTAGGAGCTTAGAAAGAGCGTAGGCGAGCGTATTAAATAGGAATATTAGGGAGAGGTTATTATTAAAAAAAATAAAAAGAGAAAGTAAGGGGTAGTATTTAGTTATTAAGAAGGCGATTAATATACTATAGTAGTAGGGTTATTAGTATCTTAAGTTTAGTTAGTATTAATAGCTACGGCCGGCTGTTATTAGTTATAAAGCTTATTACGTAATAAAAACTCGATATTGACCCTAATAGACTAGCTTACCCGTGAAGGCGAAGATGGCCCCCAATGAGGCGGACCGGACCCCAAAGGGTATTTTTTAACTATATGATATATATAATATATCCTAAGTACGCGCTTAACGTAATATAGTGATTTTAATACGAAAACTACTATTTAATTTAAAATAGGTAAGCTACCTTTTATATAATAGTACTAATTAGAAAGGTTAATAATAAAGGTCGGCTATAATAATTAGTTATAATAGTTAGCTATAATAGTTAAAAGCGGCCTTTTTTAACTATAAAAGTTCTAAACTTTAATAGTAACGTAGAGGTTTTTAAAAAAAGGGCTAAATAGGCTAATATTTATTACTTTTCGTATTAAAGCTTATAAAAAAAAAATTTATCCTTATTGCTTTTAATATTACCTAAAGCTACTCTCTATTTAAACTAAATAAGTTTACTAAATAAATCTACTAAATAAACCTATTAAATAAATTTATTAATATATTTGTTTTTATTTTTACTTTTACTGACTACTCGGGCGATTCTTAATATTAGCTATATAGTATTAATATATAGTATTAGTAAATACTCCTACTATCTTATTAAACTATTTTTTTTTTAAATTTTCTACTTTTTTAAACTTTCTTTTTTATAAATTTTATAATTATAAATTAAGAGTTTTGCTATTAGGGTAGTACTATTTAGCTATTGGGGTAGTAATTTACTTTTTTAGCTAATTAGAGCGTCTAGATTATTAAAGTTTTTTTATTAACCTATACGTCCCGTATTAGCTATAACTAGTATAATTACCCTATACTCTACCTAAGTACTTAGATTACTTTTACTTATTTATATAAAGTAATATAATTTAAAAATTATTCTAGCTTTTATTATAATAATTAAGAGATCTTATTAAATCTTAATCTTTTTTAAAATCGTTAAAACTATCCTTAACTACGGCCTCTTATTAGTTAATTAATTAAGTTAGAGATTCCTTAGTACTATAAATATTAATAGCTACTTAGTATAACGTTTATTATATTTTATTAATATCGAAACGTCTTTTTTAATTATAATATAATCCTAAATAATCTTTTATAATAGCTCGGTTACTAATTCGTTCTTTATATTATATTTAAATACTAAATAGTTATAATAAATACCTACTCTTATTAACTACGGGGCTAAGTTCGTAACTTTATAAAGCTATTTAGGCTATTTATTTAAAAAGAGTAAGCTACTTAACGGGAGGCTATTTAATAATAAGATACTATTTATAAATATAAATATTAAATTTAGGATTTTTTAATTATATAGCTACTTATATAGACTAGTTATAATACGGGGATCCTTAATTTATATTAAAGTATTATTAAGATCTTAAGGAGGTTAGTATATATTCTAAAAATAAAATAAATCGATATATTAAGGGCTATTTAAGTTATTAATATAAATAAATATTATATTTTATTAACTAAATTTTAAACGTTTTTAAGACCTCGAGGATTTTATAATTATAAAGTAGTTTATACTAGTTTATAAAGTACTTATAATAAAGTTAAAAATTAAGTAAGTTCTTATTAATAAATAATAGTATTATAATAAGGGTAATTTAGTATTAATAAGCTATAAGATTTAGAGCTTTATATCCTACTTACTTAGTTATATTATTAAGTTATAGTTAATAAAGATATTTATAGTAGATATAAGATTTTATAATAATAATAACCTCGATATACCCCCTTTTTTTATTAGCTAATATTTTATTAATTACTTAAAAAACGGTATAAAGGTTTATATAGTTAATAATAATATAAAACTTTAGTTTTTATAAGTAGTCTTAGTAAATAAGTTCGTGCGTATACCGAAGTTCTTATACTTATTAATAAAGTACTAAGCTTATTAATAATAGAGGGGGATATATATATTAGCTAGGTATAAAAGAGCTAGAGTTTAGTTAGTAAAATCCGCTTATAGTTTTCCCTAAGTAGTATTAAAATTAAATTTTAAATCTACGTAAAGTACGTATATTTATAGCTAGTAAAAGCCTATAAGTATATACTCGAACTTAGTAGCCTCGAGTTACTAAGTAATAAATAATTTATTAATACGTAAGATTTTATTAAGTACTATAGTTTATAAGTTATAAAAGAGGGTAGTAATAATAGTTTTGTACTTTTTATAAACTAATATAAAAGCTTTAATAAATCCCTTATTTTTATTAATATTAAACTTATTTTAAATTTTTATAGTACTATTATTTAGCTATTTATATTTAATATTAAGGTTTATATTCGTATTAATATAAAAGATATAAAGTTAGAGTTAAATAGTAAATAGGACCTTAAATAGGGCTAAGCGTAGGGTATTTTTAAAGTTAATAATAGTTATATATAGTACCTCGGCTCTTACTTCTTATTAAATTATATTAAACGATTATATAATAAAGTTATATAATTTATAGCGTTTTAATAAAACGATAGTAAAAGCGTAGTTAAATAGCGAGCTAGTATTTATAGTATTAGTAACTTAAAAAAGAGGTATTTTAAACTTATTCGTTTTATATATATTATTAAAGCTAATCCGTGGTTATGAACTTTATAAGAGGGAAAGTTAAAAAGGTAGAAAATCTAAAAAAATAGTTTATTAAAATAGTAGGAGTATTTATTAATACTATGAATTAATACTATATAATCGATATTAAGAATCGCCCGAGTAGTTAGTAAAGGCAGAAATAAAATAAATAAATATATTATTAAAACTAACTATTTATAAAAAGCGCTTTTATATTTACTTATGTAGTGGTTTTTTTCCAGCTTTATAGGCATAAAAAATCGACCTTAATAAGATTACGCTTTTAAAAGAAATTATATAATATAATATACTTTTTAACTATATAATATACGTAATATATCCTAAGTACGTACTTAATATAATATAATAATTTTAATATAAAAACCGCTATATAATTTAGGATAAGTAAGCTACTTTATAATAGCGCTAGTTAAAAAGGTTAACGGTAGAGGTCGGCTATAAAGATTAGAAGTAGCCCTTAACCGCAAAAGTTCTAAACTTTAATAGTAACGTAGAGGTTTTTAAAAAAAAGGGCTAAAAGGGCTAATATTTAGCTACTCTTTAGAGCTCGTAAAGATTCTTTTTATTTTTATTATTTTTAATATTACTTAAAACTACTTTTTATTTAAACTAAATAAATTTACTAAATAACTTATTAAACGAACTTATTAAACGAACTTATTAATATATAAACTACTACTTATTAAGAACTTCTTAGTATATAGTTAATAATTAGTGGGCTAAGACTCTAAAAATACCCCTTAATAAGTCCCCCCCTCTAAGGCTTAATAAATTCTTAAGCCCCCTTAACGCCCTAACTATTATAATTAATATAAATATACCTAAAGAGTAATATAATACTTTTTAATAATATAAAATCCGGCTAAGTAATAATATAAATATTATAAATAGTTAGGCTAATATAGATATTTAAATTTAGTATATTAATACTAACTTAGAAATTATACTCTATAGAGCTAAAAATCCTTTTAATATAGGCTATATTATAAATATAAGGGAATATATAAGGGGCCCCTTAATTTTTAATAAAAAAGAGTATATAATACGGGATTTAGTTATTTATATAGGCTAGTATTAAGAGGTCTTATATATATTAAAATAGGTATAGCTCGCTCTCTAAATAGTTAGAACTTAGAGGACTACGGGAGAAGGTCGGGAGCTATTAATAAAAAGAAAATAACGATCGAGTTAGTTAACTATTTTAATTAATAATTAGGTATAAAGCGTAATATACCCAGTTTTCCTTAATACGTAATATACGGTACGGCCCCGGCGAATTACTCCGTCGGGGGGTTATATTTACTTATATTATAAGTAGGTTTATAGTATAGCTTTAGGTAGGTCGGGGTTTTTTTTATTTTATAAAATATAATAATAGAGGCTATAAGTTTAAATATTATAAAAGACTACTTAAGTAGGGGTCCTATTAATAAGGTAATTAAGGTACTACTTTTATTACTTATTATAAACGTTTTTTTATTTAAAATATAACAATACGTTAAGTATATAGTCGCGGATTATTATAAAAATCTTATAAAGCTTAATAATATTATATTTAAATAAGTTATTAATAAGGGTAGTTTAGTTAGAAAAAAGCTAATAATAAGTAGGGTAAACCGATAGGTATAAGGATAAGCCGTAATTATATTCTCCTATTTTAATTCTAAACGTTTATTACTTTTTATTTATTTTTTATTTCTACCTTTACTAGCTACTCGGGCAATTCTTAATATCGTTTATATAGTATTAATATATAGTATTAGTAAATACTTATACTATCTCGCTAGACTATTTTTTTAAATTTTCTAACTTTTTAACTTTCCCTCTTATAAAGTTTATAACTACGGATTATTAAAAGTAATAATAGGCGCTACTACTTTATAAGCCTACTGCGTACCTAGCTAAGTTAGCTACCCTTTTAAGTAATAGTAGCTCATAACGGTAGTATTAGAAATACCCTCGTTACTATTATTAAGAATAATACCGACCTCTATAAGTACAATATCTACCCTAGTACTTTTAACTTTACTTGTATATATACATATTCGTTACCTTATTTCCTTTATTAAAGTTAAAAAACGCTTCCCTCGCCGTCTGTTACTATCGCTTATTACTTTTTATTTTAAGTATAAGTAGTAGCTATACCCTACTAAGGGTAGCTAACTTTTTATATTTTTAATTAATAAAGGCCGATAGTACGGGTTTAATAAATAGTATTATAGTTATATTATAAAATATAGTAAGTAGCCTTATTATTAACGTAGTTAGATCTATTATAATAAATAATTATAAAGCCGTAGTTATAAATAAATAACTAAAAGTTAGTTATAAAGTTATTAATTAAATTAATAAGTACGTAGTTTTTTAATAAGGTTTTAATATATAAAAAAATATTAATAGTATTACGAGAGTTTTTTAAATTAATTATTAGCGTTAAAAATTACAATAAATCTATTACTAATTAATTACGTAACGGTAATAACGTAGTAATAGAGGTTAGAAATAGAAGTAGTAATTATGTTATAAATAAAAGTGGGTTAAAGTAGGTGGGTAGAAGTAGAAGTGTAATTAGAAGTCGAGGTAGTAGTACGTACTAGGTTAATATAGGTATTTTAAGCTTAGGCCCGCGTAGTAAGTGCGGGAGGTAGGTTAGGGAAGGTATACTAAAAATTAGTGGCCTCTAGTTAGCCGCACGGGCTAGATAAAAGTAGATTACTACCCCAATAGCTAAACGGTACTGCCCTAATAGCAAAACTCTAAATAAATAGTAATATTAAGTACCTAACGCTACTACTTTATAAACCTACTACGTACTTAACTAAGTTCCTTACTTTTTTAAATAACTATAGTTTATAATAATAATATTAGAGATACCCTCGTTATTACTATTAAAAATAATATTAACCTTACGATATTTACCTTATTATTCTTAACTTTAACTTATATATATATATATATTCGTTACTTAATCCGTAATTATAAACTTTATAAGAGGGAAAGTTTAAAAAAGTAGAAAATATAAAAAAATAGTCTAATGAGACAGTATAAGTATTTATTAATACTATATATTAATACGGTATAACTAATATTGAGAATCGCCCGAGTAGCTAGTAAAGGTAGAAATAAAAAACAAATATATTCGTTATTTCGTTTCCTTTATTAAAGTTAAAAAACGCTACTTCTCTTACTATTTATTATTATTACCCTATTATTATTATTATTAAATCGTTTATTTTAAATATATACTATCGAAATACTAAGATACTTAGTTATTATCGACCCTTAGGACTTTTTTAATAACTAGAAGTTTAAGTTAAAAGTATTTAATTTATATTCCTTTATATAATCGTATTATAGTTCGAGGTCTTTTAATATAACACTTATAATATTAAAAATTAAAAAAAGGTATATTAATATAGCTATTACCCTAATTAGTACTTAGCTTATATAATATAGTAGCCTTAAAATACTTAATTAACTTTAAAATATTATTAATATTTTAAAAACGTAGTATAAAATAGAATAAAAAAGATTAAAAAGGATATTTTAAAATTATTAAATAGGGTAGAAAGTAAGGGGTAGTTTTTAGCTATTTAAAAAGCGATTAATATATTATAATAGCAGGGTTATTAATATTTTAAGTTTAGTTAGTATTAATAATTAATAATAACCATACTAGCTATAGCCGGCTATAGCCGGCTATTATTAATTAATATAAAGTCTTATTAAAGTATATAATAAAAACTCGATATTAATTTTAATAAACTAGCTTACTTATAAAAGCGAAAATAGCCCCTAATACGGCGGGCCGGACCCCAAAGGGACTTATTAATATATAAACTACTACTTTATTAAGAACTTATTTTACTAAAAATACCCCTTAATAAGTCACCCCCTCTAGGGCTTAATAAATTCTTAAGCCCCCTCGACGCCCTAGTTATTATAATTAATATAAATACGCTTAAAAAATAATATAATACTTTTTAATAATATAAAATCTAATTAAGTAATAGTATAAACGCTATAAATAGCTAGGTTAATACGGATATTAAAATCCGGTATATTAATATAATAAATTCGGGATGCGGCCGGCGATAGGACGCCAATAACTTAGTAACTAGTATACGGATCGTATTATAAAAAAACTTTTAAAAAAATAGAGCTTATATAAAGGACTCTATAAGCTTTAGTCTTATAATATACTTATACTTATATTATAGCCTCGCTAGTTAAGTACTTATAGCCTAATTTCTTATAATTAATATTAATTTAAAAATTATATTTTATAAAATTAAAAGTCTTTTTAATATAAGCTATATTATAAATATAAGGAAATATATAAGGGGTCCCCTAATTTTTAATAAAAAGGAGTATATAATATAAAATCTAGCTATTTATATAAGCTAGTACTAAGAGGTTTTATATATATTAAAATAAGTATAGCTCGCTCTTTAAATAGCTAAAAGCGGTAAAAGGTTAAGAGTTAATAAAAAGGAAATAATAGTTAAGTTAGTTAACTACTATTAGGGTTTTAATTAGTAATTAAGTATAGAGCGCAATATACCTAGTTTTTTTTAATATATAATATATAATACGGCCTTAGTAAATTGCTCTATTAGAGGGAATTAGACTTATAGAGGTTAGTATTATTCTTAATAATAATAACGAGGGCATTTTTAATATTACTATTATAAGCTACTATACTTAAAAAAGTAGCTAACTTAGCTAAGTACGTAATAAGCTTACAAAATAATAGCGTTAAGTACTTAATATCACCGTTAATAATCCGTAGTTATAAATTTTATAAAAAAATAAAAAAAAAAAGTTAAGAAAAATTTAAAAAAATAGTTTACTAAGATAGTAGGAGTATTTACTAATATTATATATTAATATTATCCCTTTAGGGTCCGGTCCGCCTTATTAGGGGCTATCTTCGCTTTTATAAATAAGCTAGTCTATTGGGGTTAATATTAAGTTTTTATTACGTACTTTAATAAGACTTTATAATTAATTATAACTAGCTATAACTATTACTAAAATACTAACTAAACTTAAGATATTAATAACCCCGCTATTATAATATATTAATTACTTTTTTAATAACTAAATACTACCCCTTACTTTTTCTTTTTATTTTATTTAATAATAACTTTTTTTTATTAATATTCTTATTTAATACGCTTACTTATATTCTTTTTAAACTCTTAATTATATTATTAAATCTAGGCTTATTTATACTTTATTATATTAAAAAGCACTAATAAGAACGATACTTATTATAATATATTTATCCGTTTTTTATAAATTAATATTATTAATATAATATTTATTAAAGCGGTCTTTTTATAGCTCGGGGTCGTTTAGTATAATACTTATAAAATCGAGCTTTTAGCTTTTAAAAAAGCCCTAAGGGTCGACGAGTTATTAGTATCTTAGTATTTTAATAAAGTATATTTAAAGTAACCCTTTGGGGTCCGGTCTGCCTTATTAGGGGCCATCTTCGCCTTTTTAAATAAGCTAGTTTATTAGGGTTAATATTAAGTATTTTTATTATATAATAAACTTTATAATTAATAATAACTAGCCGTAGCCGTTACTAAATACTAATAATCCTATTATAATATATTAATTACCCTCTAAATAGCTAAAAACTACCCCCTATTTTCCGCTTTATTTAATAAGTTTAGAATATTTTTTTTAGTTTTTTTTAACTTATTCTTATATTACGTTTTTAAAATATTAATAATACTTTAAAATTAGTTAGGTATTTTAAGGCTATTATATTATATAAGCTAAGTACTTATTAAAATAATAGCTATATTAATATATATTTTTTTAATTTTTAAGTTAATAATATTTAATCCGTATTTTTTAAAATAGTTATACTATAGTTCGAGGTCCTTTAGTATAATATTTATAAAATTAAACTTCTAGTTATTAAAAAAGCCCTAAGGGTTAATAATAACTACGTATCCCGGTATTTTTATAATATATATTTAAAGTAAATAATTTAATAATAATAGTAATAGTAATAGTAATAAGGTAATAATAATAAAGTAATAGTAATAGGGCGATAGTAATAAAGTAATAGTAATAAATAGTAAGGGAAGCGTTTTTTAATTTTAATAAAGGAAACGAGGTAATAAATATATATATATATATACGAGTCGAAGTTAAAAGCGTATAAATATTAATAATAAGACTTATATAGTGGTTTTTTTTTAGCTTTATAGGTATAAAAGATCGACTTTAACGGGATTATACTTTTAAAGGAAATTATATAATATAATATACTTTTTAATTATATAATACGCGTAATATGCCCTAAGTACGCGCTTAATATAATATAATAATTTTAATACGAAAACTACTATATAATTCGGAATAAGTAAGCTACTGCTACTTATTAATAATAAGCTAAGTAATATATTTACGTAGCGGCGCTAGTTAAAAAGGTTAATAATAGAGGTCGGCCGTAATAATTAGCTATAATAATCGGCTATAATAGTTAGAGGCGGCCCTTAACCGCAGAGGTTTTAAACTTTAATAGCGACGTAGAGGTTTTTAAAAAAAGGGCTAAATAGGTTAATATTTACTACTCTTTTATTATACTAAAGCTTATAAAGATTCTTTCTATCCTTATCGCTTTTAATATCGCCTAAAGCTCTATTTAAACTAAATAAATCTACTAAATAAATCTACTAAATAAACCTATTAATATATAAACTACTACTTTAATAAGAACCTATTTTAAAAATACTTATTAATAAGTCTACCCCTCTCGGGCTAGGCGCCCTCGGCTAGCTTAACGCTATAGCTATCGTAACTAACGTAAATACGCCTAAAAAGTAGTAAAGTACTTTTTAATAATACGGAATTTAGCTAAGTAATAATACGAATATTATAAATAACTAGGTTAGTACGGATATTAAGATTTAATATATTAATATTAGTTTAGAAATTATATTTTATAGAATTAGAAATCCCTTTAATACGGGCTATATTATAAATATAAGAGAATATATAAGGGGCCCTCTAATTCTTAATAAAAAGGAGTATATAATACGGGATCTAGTTACTTACGTAAGCTAGTACTAAGAGGTCTTATATACGTTAAAGTAAGTATAGCTTACCCTCTAAACGGGCGGGGAAAGGTCAGGAGCTATTTTAATTAGTAATTAGGTATAGAGCGTAATATACCCAGTTTTCCCTAATACGTAATATATAGTATAGCCCCGGCGGATTACTCTATTAGGGGGAATAATAAGACTTATAAAAGTTAGTATTATTTTTAATAATAATAACGAGGGTATCTTTAATATTATATTATTATAAGCTATTATTATTTAAAAAGTAATAAACTTAGCTAAGTAAGTAGCTTATAAAGTAATAGCGTTAGGCACTTAATATTATTATTAATAATCCGTAGTTATAAACTTTATAAAAGGGAAAGTTAAAAAGTTAGAAAATTTAAAAAAAAATAGTTTATTAAGATAGTAAGAGTATTTATTAATACTATATATTAATACTATATAATCGATATTAAGAACTGCCTAAGTAATTAGTAAAGGTAAAATAAAAAAAATAAATATTTAAAATAAATAGTTAAATAATAATAATAATAGTAATAATAATAATAAGGAAAGTAGCGTTTTTAACTTTAATAAAAGAAATAAAGTAACGAATATATATATATATATACGAGTTAAAGTTAAAAATATAGTAAATATTAATATTTATAAAGGTCGGTATTATTTTTAATAACGGTAACGAGGGCATCTTTAATATTATTATTATAAACTACTATATTTAAAAAGGTAGCTAACTTAGTTAAATACGTAATAAGCTTATAAAATAGTAGTGCCTATTATTATTATTAATAATCCGTAGTTATAAACTTTATAAGAGGGAATATTAAAAAAGTAGAAAATTTAAAAAAATAATTTATTAAAATAATAAGAGTATATATTAATATTATATATTAATACTATATAATTAATATTAAGAATTACTCGAGTAGCTAGTAAAAATAGAAATAAAAAAATAAATATATTAATATTATAAAAACGATATTAAGAACTGCCCGAGTAGTTAATAAAAGTAAAATATAAAATTAAATATTATTAACTATACCTACGTTTACTTAATAATAACTATATTATTTAGTACCTAGTGCTATAATATTAATTACGGTTCTATTTTTATATAATAGTTATAGTATTCTATTCTTTATAATACCCTATTACTACTTATGCTATTTGGCTTTGTAAAACCTTCTGCCTTAGTACTATTAGTTACACACGATCCGTTAGTATATTCTTAACTATGCTGCCCATTGCCCAGTTGTGTTTCCTAGGGACATGTGGAACTTACCATCCTCGACACTTCGCACATTTAGCGTTTTCCGCTGCACGATCACCTCGAGGTCCTGAATGTTATTCATCAAATTCTGAACCTTGGCTTCGTAGAAACGTTCGGCAGACTCGGTATCCTGCGTAACCGTTAACACACACAATGGTCAGAGGTCAGACCGAACCTCGGGCTTGATGAACATACCTTCTCGACGTAAAATCCTGTGCCTACGTCGACGATGACGTGCTTTGGATCCGAAAGCTCCCCACGTACGTAGAGGGAGTTGGTTAGCGGCACCAGGACAGATTTGTCGCCTGGAGAAATGTTAACTCGGCTGGCCACTGATAAGACGGGAAAGTTGGGGGCCTGCATACCATCGCCAGCACCAGGCCTGGCCTTGACACACCGAAGGCACTCCTTGAACCTGGATTGTGCGCTGTGTAGCTGGGCGAACGAGTTTGTCAAGTGCTCGAGTTCTTCTTCCAATTGCTTCTTGACCTGACTGAGTTGCTGTGTGTCCAGCGTCTCCAGATTGACTGTGGAGCCGAGTCAGCACGGAAATCGACGATGTATACCTGATCTTCATGAGGAGATGGCGGAATCTCAACCGGAAATACTCACTACTCTCGGAACCCTGAGCGGCCATGGTTGATTAAACAGGCTTGCGGGCGAACAAAGTCGTCGGGATAGATGATTGAAGTGAGTATGAGTCCCTGCTTAGTACCGAACCCTAGGCGACGGTGAAGGCCCACTTCGGACAAAAGGGCAAAAAGATAAACTTCGGGTTGCTGATGTGATTGAGACCCGATGCTGTGTCAAACTCTCGGGAGGGGACTGAGGTTTGAAGCAAGGCCTGACTACTTGATTGTCGTTCATTAACACCACTCCTTCCCATATTATTGACAACATTTGTCGCACTTCTCGGGTGGCTATACACGTGACCGCCCCACACCGCGCAGGACATGTCTGGGCAGGCCGCCGTCGCATGTCACCCAACTCACATCGAGTTTGGTAAGATCAGTAGATAGAGAGAGGTTGCCGGGTCCCTGATGCTTCGATAGCAATGGACATACCTTTTAGCTGTGACATTAAAACGAGCTATTGGAGGCGATTTCCTATTTTCTACGTTGGTAGGACATCTGATTTGGAGGTACATGAATGCCTTGTACACGCCGCGTCGCGGGCGCCTCAACGAGACGTCCTAGCGGTCTTCATTCTGCTCAGAGCTGTTCGAGCAACTCTGCCACACGCTGGCGTAGCTCTCTAAGCGGTACCATTTCTTTGATCCCGAATCTGCGGCATTGGACCTCACAATTACCTGTCTCTTTCCATACTTTACCCAGTATGACTAGGACTGGATAACCTACCAAGTCTGCGTCATTCAGCTTCCAACCGAAGGACGCCGACCTATCATCCAGCACCGTGTCAATGCCCCCTGTGGCGATCTCATCATACACTTGACTAGCATCTTCAGCTAGAGTAGGAGTGGAAATCACCACGACTTCGTAAGGGGCAATCACGCGCGGCCATTGTAGGCCCTTCGTGTCTGTCAGATGCTCAGCTACGGCCCCTATGAGTCGGGAGACGCCAATTCCATGGCACCCCATCTGCATAGGTGTCTTTTCCTCAGCCAAAGCTGGCGGACCATCGTGCTGACTTGAATTCGCACGAGTTGGTACGGATACTGTTGCATCGAGTGGCTCCGAGTATCGAGTTCCTAGGTAGAATGTGTGCCCAAGCTCCAGCGCCTTCTGCAGCTCGAGAACGCCACTGTCGCAGCAAGGGCATCTGTCGCCATCGCGAGCCGCGAGCAGGTGGATTGGTTGTCCAACTTGAGTTCTGGTAATGATGGTTGAGTCTACTCCATCCTCGGGAACATCCAACCCTGACAAAGGCGATGATTTACTTTCTTCTCGTAGAACCTCTTCTAGGTTGCTGGTCAATGTGGAGTGTATGATGTTAATGATCTGGGGCCGGGTGGCCGCAGTGTCCGTGCTAGAACTCGTTGATGTAATAGCTGCCCGCCACAGTGATACGGCATTCTCAGTGCTTGCATCCAGATCAGCGACAATTGTCTTGATGGCCGAAATCCTGAGATCTTTCTCTCCGTTAGATTCATCCTGGCTTTGGCCTGGATACCAGGCATTCACCAAGGTCTTGCGGTCTTTACTGATGCCTCGCCACACCCTTATTGAAGCAGATGCGGGACTTGGGGCTTCAGTCGGACCGCATGGTCCTGTGCTGTCGACGGCCGCTGTCCTTGGCTCGGCGACCTCGGCGTTAGCAGCGTAGCTACAAGTATTGCAGGTGACCAGAGTGTCCTCCCCAATTGAGGTGGGCAAGTGATACTCATGGCTCAGATCGCCTCCCATGTCGCCGGAGCTCGCTTTGGCTACTTTCACCGGCAGCTTCAGTGCTTTGAAAACGCCGGTGTATGCCGACTGGACCTTCTTATAGGTCTCTAAGGCCGAATTCGCGGAGACATCAAAAGTATAGAGGTCCTTCATGGTGAACTCGCGGGTTCTTAGTAGTCCATGGCGCGGACGAAGTTCGTCACGGAATTTGCGCGCTAGTGATTTCAACATGAGTTATTGGGTTGCAAACGAGGTCTGTGAAGTTTCCGTGCTCACTGATCTGATAGAGGCGAAGGGGCAGTTCTTTGTAGGATTTCACAGTCTTCGCCACTAGAGTAGTAATCTCTTCTTCGTGGGTGGGCGACAGCATGTATTTGGACCCTTTGCGGTCCTCGAAGCCGAAGAGCTTTGCCAGTCAGCCGTAGGATCAAGGTTTTTGAGACAGCATGCACTGACCTCAGCCTCTAGTTGTGTAAGACGGCCACTCCTCTCCCAGAGGTCCTTGGACGTAATGGTTGACAGAGCTACTCTCGAGGCTCCTGTGGCAGACGTCAGTAAATGGCAGCGGCCGGCAACCGAGGTGTACGAGAAAACTTACCGAGTTCTTGCATGTAATAGTCAATGACGCTCTCGAGTTTCCGTTGGACACGCTGGCCAAGAGGAAGTAGATGGAAAATGCCAGAGTGTGACTGAAATATGAGGAATGAGCAAAATCTCCCATCTCAATACCCCTTCACCGAATCACCTACCTGTCGCAAGAATCCGGCGCGAACAAGCTTTTCATAGGCGCCTGAGTTTCTGAATTGAGCATGCTGACAATCGAGATAGGCAGCATGCGATAGACCTACCTTCGCCTCGTTCAGGTGTCATTCCTCCGGTAGGGACCCAAACAGTTGACAGTCGATTCCTGGTGCTACCAGCGCGGTAGCCGCGGCTGAATGACTGATGGCATGTAAGCAATGTCATATGAGTTTATTGCTTCAAAGGCATATGTGTACCTACCTGGCTACTGCCATTGAACGGTAAGTTGCCATGGCTTGCCTTCGTGCTATGAGGCGTCGACAAGATAGGGAGTCTCCATGCGCGACTGAAAGACATGTTGCCGTCGAAAGTAAGTACGCCAGCTGACGAGGTAACTCTGGAACACGTTCGCTGACCAACACTCTCAAGTGAGTTGCTGGTTCAGTAGCGATGACCAATATCTTCACCTTGAAAGCCTCCACCAAGATGGGATGATAGTGGTGATTGATCAACCCTTGAACGAGCTGGCCGCTTGAGGACTTGTCAATCGGGAATCAGCAAATGGCACAGGCTGGCAATGGACCATTGATTAGTGAGACTGGCGCGAAGACAAGATCTACTCTTATTGGGGTCACAAGAGGCCAGGTGATGGAGGCTACGTCAAATTTTGTTTGACCACAATCTTGGATTACTTTGGATGAGAGGGCTATTAGCGGCAAATTGGCTTACCTAGGTAGAGGGGGCCAGATGGATGCGCGACCCGAATTTATAGCGTTATTACCTTACTCCGAGTTGCCTTGGGTACTCCAAGTTGGAGATGACAATATAGATTGGTAACATTCAATTGGGTTTACCGTTCCACTTAAGGAGGTATCCGTACCTAGACCGGGAGGCTCGACCACGACTTCGACCTCAGGTCCCGTCACGTTGCCGTCCCTGCTTATCGATAAGAAAGTTGACCCCACTCCTGGCTCTCAATGCCTTTTTTTTTTTTCTTGCGACAACCTTTCCTCGCTGCATTGCAGGTTCTGCTTCTTGTACATTTTGGTGTAATACAGGGGATTTTTCTCACCTTCACACGGTTCGTTATTGTGTTCTTCAATCATTTATCCAGGACTCTCCCTCTTCTTTTGGCTGCGGTCGTAACCTGAAATACATGATGGGCAAGCCAAAGAGGCAATCTGCCGGCAAGGCTCGACAGCCAGTGTCCTTGAACCCGGAATCATTTTCGAATCTCACAGCCAAGATCGAGGGAAAACTAGGCAAAGCTGTCAAAGATAACTCAACCGATAACAAGAAGCGCAAACACGTCTCCGACGAGCCATTGGAGAGCTCGCATCAACGGAAAAAGCACGCCCATCGTCGCGACAAGTCCACGAGCGGGCGGGACGACATTACGACCAAGGTGAAGGGCAAGAAAGGCGCGCTCCTCAACCGCGAGGATCTCCTTGAGGAAATCAGGGCTTTGGGAGGAGACGAAGAGGACCTGAAGCTCATCGGAGACATTGATTCGGACGACGAGGACGCCGCTGAGGAAGCCAACTCTATGGCCAATATTGACGGAAAGCTTCAGAGTGAGCTTGCTGCTTTCGCAGCCCAGCTCGGCCTCCAGCAACATCACGAAGCAGCAACAGCCCAGGATGCAGAAGAATCCCCGGAGGAGGCGGAGACAGAGGAGGACGAAGCGAGCGAGGCAGATGAAGTTGGTGAAAGCGACGACCAGTCTGCCCAGGAGGACGCAGCTGCAGAAGTCCATGCACCGCAACAACCTCCCCGTAAGGATGTCAAAGATACGTTCAAGAAGCAGTTCGTGAGCAACCACCTGACCCAAGTTCCCGTCATGCATATGCTGACCTGTGCCCGCCAGAAATTCGAACCTCGTGCTGATTGGCACGGGGCGGAACTGAGCCAGCTCCCAGACCCTACGTCCCCCGAAGTGAATGGTTTCCTTGGCGTCATCAGTGCTCTCAAAGCTCATGCAGTCGCTCTTCTGGAGGCGGATGCGGCAGCGTACAATAAGAGCGTCCTGGCATCATCCTCTCGAAAGTTCCTCTCCACCATCATGTCTTCCGGAACGCTCTCCGACAAAGTCTCTGCTCTCACCTTGGCAATTCAAGAGTCACCACTGCACAATGTCAAGGCTTTTGAGTCTCTCCTAGGCCTTGCGTCCAAAAGGAGTCGTGCTCAGGCCATTGGCGCTCTTGGCGCTCTGGTTGATCTGCTCGGTCCGGGTCTAGTCCTACCCCCTAATAGGAGACTGCGTGCCTTTCAGACTCAACCTGGTCTCATTGGAGTTCTGCAGCGATCCTCTGTCAAGAATTGGAACTCCAGCCAAGCCTTACCGGGTCGCTTAACGGATGCACACCTCATCCAGTGGGCTTACGAGGATTGGCTCAAGATATCATACTTCAAGATCATCCAGCTCCTTGAGGTCTGGTGCAACGACGAGATTGAATACTCTCGCACCCGTTCCATCGACTTTGTCTACGGCCTGCTCAAGGACAAGCCCGAGCAAGAGACCAATTTGCTCAGGCTCTTGGTTAACAAAATGGGCGACAAGGACCGCAAGATTGCCTCAAGAGTTTCCTACCTTCTTCTTCAGCTTCAGAACACCCACCCCGGAATGAAGCAGGTTGTGATCAAGGGCATAGAGCAGGAAGTTCTACTCCGACCAGGTCAAACTTTCAGGGCCAAGTACCACGCTACGAACACTCTGAACCAGACGATACTGAGCAACCGCGAAGGTGGCACGGCAGAGGCACTGCTCCGCATTTATTTTGAGATTTTTGTTACTCTTCTCAACAGTTCCGCACTTGGCAAAGCATCTGCCGAAAGTCAGCAGGATCGTGCTTCCAAAGAGACTGGCGTTACGACGGAGACAGCCGATAAGCTGGTTACCGCAGTATTGACAGGTATCAACCGCGCTGTGCCGTTCGTGGCCGAGCAAGACCCGATGTAAGTATTGCTTTTTCAATGGTTTCTGTGCTTCTGAATTTTCGAAGTAACTGACACTCGCATGCAGCCTCGAATCCCAAATGGACACTCTTTTCCGAATTGCGCACTCGACGAACTTCAACACAAGTATTCAGGCGCTAATTCTGATTCAGCAAATATCGGTGTCAAGGCACCTGGCTTCCGACAGGTTCTACAGGACGTTGTACGAATCCTTGCTGGATCCGCGACTTGCCAACTCCTCTAAACAAGCCCTTTATTTGAACCTGATTCTGAAGTCTCTCAAGGCCGATGTTGACACGAGGCGGATTAAGGCCTTTGCGAAGAGAATGTTGCAGATTCTCAACTTGCACCAGCCTGCTTTCGTCTGTGGCTTGATATACGTGGTGTTCCAACTGCGGACTCAGTTCCCCGACCTTAGAGCACTCCTTGAAGAACCAGAGGATAACGACACAGAAGAGGCGACTAGCCAGCCCTCGGCAGAGGATCAGAATGTATCTGTTTCTAGAGGAAGTGTGTACGATGGCCGCAAAAGAAACCCAGAACATAGCAATGCTCAGAACAGCTGTCTCTGGGAAATTGTAAGCTTGTACCTGTGTTTGAGTTCACGAGACTCCGTTTGCTAATGAATGCAGATACCACCCCTCACTCACTTCCACCCGTCCGTGTCTCTACTGGCCGCAAGTCTGTTCTCAAATGAGAAGCAGATGGCCAAACCCGACCTAGAGAGCCATAGCTTGATCAGATTCCTCGACAAGTTTGTGTACCGCAGCCCGAAGGCGGCAGAGACTGCTAGGGGAGCATCTATCATGCAGCCGGTCCGCAATCCTGATTCTGGCAGTATCTGGCTCGCGAAGAGAACTGGCTCAGGTGCAGCTGCGCCAATTAATACGCCTAAGTTCTGGAACAAGAAGGTAGACCAGGTCGCAGCGGAGGATATCTTCTTCCACGAATACTTCAAGCAAGCGGGCAAGAAGGTCGAGGGTGGTAAGAAGATCACTGAACAATCGTCATCTGGACTAGATGAGGTCAGTGCCGAGGATGACGCCGAACAAGAGGATGAGATTTGGAAGGCCTTAACTGCCTCGCATCCCGATGGTCCAATCGAGAGTGACGATGACGACCTTGACATGGATGGATTCGACGACAGCGATGACGAGTCCGATGGTGGCGTTATCTTCTCTGACGGCTCCGACGCCGAACTTTCGGATGGCGACGAAGATGACGGAGACGACGAAGATGCTGGCGAACTCCATGGCGAGGAAGGAGACGACGATGAGGCGATGGAGGATGAGGGTGGCCCCGAGCTGTCTGCAGTACCTGGAGAGGCCGAGGAAACTAGCCAGAAGAGCAAGAGCGCCGCCCGATCATCCAGGAGGAAACTCAAGGACTTGCCCATGTTTGCGTCGGCAGATGATTATGCCGAACTCTTGGCGGCAGAGGAGGAGGACATGTAATCGGACCAAGAAATTCTCAATAGATATCATATTGTATGTCTGGGTTAGAAAAGCCCATGAGATGAGAACTCCTGATCAACTCGCTCCCGGCCCATCCCATATCTACCTATGTGTCAAACCACTCAAGGTCGTCATCTTTAGTGAATATGGCTCTATACGTCTTGTCTCCATCCGAATGCTCAGTCTCTTCAGTGTGAATGCTGTGAAGTTTTGGCGGCTCAGCTCCGGGCACGAAGGCGCGGAAGTGAATGTAGGCAGGCCCCGACTCAGGTAGGGCTGGGATTCGGACCTTGCCAAAGAGGTGGATTCCGTAAGCCGAACTGGCAACTCTTACGGCCACAAAGTTGTCCGGGCCAAAAGCGGCTAGTTGGTGATCGTCGAGGTGTTGCTAGGATCTGTTTGAGCGGACGCGATGGCAAGGCGTGGCAAAATGATGATTGACTTACAACAGCCTGAAAATACTCGGGCTCGTGCTCTGATGATGGAGTGTCAGTCCATGGCTTGTTTCCAGTGGAGAATGTGACTTACTTTGATGCTCACGTCGGATGTGGAGAAGCTCTTTTTTGAGATCGTGCGCGATCTCTTGGAATACCTTGATGGACTCTTCCTTAGGCGCGTGCACAGCGCCCAGATCTACGGTTTCTGCCGTGGCCTAGAATGGACGGAGCACGGCAATAGGTCAGCCGGTGTCAACATGACAGTAGGTCGTTTGCTTATTCGGCATGCGGAGGAAAATGAAAGCAGTACCATTGCGTGTGTTGCTATATCTTTCTGCCGAATTCCTAGCAGCCGTTATGTGATGTTTGTTGTTAGATGGGACGAGTATGAGATGAAGTTGGTTGACAGTGAATGCCAGAACCAACTGAACGACTGCCTCGTGGACGGCGGTGTCTCATTAAAGTACCAGAAGGCCAAAGGTCAGATGAGGGGTATGTATCCATCTGTACCAGGCCTCCAGGCTCGTCACGTTGCTTGCGCCTGCACCCGTACTTTGTCATTCAAGTTTTGAGGTCTGGCCAGGACCCCTGGAGCCACACGGACCGATGCCGCATGAGAACCAACCACTGAGGTAAGGGCGAAGACTCCGTCCTGCCCGTCCCGAGTCTGATAGTTCTACTACGTAAGGAGAGAGATATGATGTCATGTGGCCGGGATCTTGTCTTGATCATACAATCACATTCAAGGACCCTATTGCGTAGAGTGTACAGGGGGCCGGGCGAGGCTACGACACTAGAAGTTACATGTATGTTATATCTGCAGCAAAGTATGGTTCCAAGTTCAGAATGGAGGAGTGTGCTGTTAAAATAAAGCATCAGACAAGCGCCAGGAGTGGAAACCATCCTACCCGTATTCGTAAGTCCAGGTGAAACCCCCATTGATACATATTTTTGGCTAGGTATTTCTTCCGCAATTGTTCGCTTAATGAAATCTCGTTTAGTGTCATGATGCTGTGCTACCTTATTGCCGGGATCAAGGTACCTCACCTGAACAGTTAAGCTACCCTACCTGTAGCCTCGGCATACGAGTGACAAACCGCGACAAAGGTCAATCTCGACCTTCTCCTATGCCTCACACATCAATCGTAAGCTTCAATCCTGTTGCTCGATTGACCAGCTGTATCCATGGCAACATCACCCTTTCTTCCGCTTCGGCGACTTCTTAAGCAGCCTGCAACATTGGCCTCCCCTAACGCGCCAATCTTGCAAACCTTCGCCCGTCGTCAGCAGGTTTGGCTCCGACGCTATCACCAAGGCATCAATGCAGGTAAGTTACTTTGCTTTGGGAAGCCCTTCAAGAACATTAGCCATTGAGCTCACACAGTTATTGCAGGCACAGCATCGCAACCGAAAAGCCCTTCCCGGTTTCGCAAAGCCATCAGCTTCGGCGCATTTGGACTGCTGTTTACGAGCCTGGGTTTCGCTGCAGCGGCGAGCCCCCTACTGCCCGGTCTGCTTGACGCGGCAAGACCCCGGTCTGATGAAGATACCCTGCAAGCCTACGTACCCGAAAACGACGAGGCCGCAGTGGTGAATGATTTCGTCAACAACCACCCTATTGCGGCCGAGATGCGCCGGAATCCCGACATGACTGAATCTCGGCCCCACATGAGACTCCCCGATGCGCTGCGGCGGCATAATCTCACTGGCGGCACGCTTCTTGGGCCGGGTCGAATCACAGTTCCCCCTGTATGCTGGACTGAAAAGGGAGGCAAGTCTCTTGTTTCAATCTCCCATCTGGGCACAGACGTTTGTGGTCACCCTGGCATTGTTCATGGTGGATTGCTTGCTACAATGCTGGACGAGGGTCTGGCGCGATGCTGCTTTGGTGCTCTTCCACACAAAGTGGGCGTTACGGCCAAGCTTGAGATCAACTATAGAAAACCAGTGCACGCAGGCACGTACGTTGTTTTGCGGGCGCGTACGACAAGAGTAGAAGGGCGCAAGGCATGGGTTGAGGGCCAGCTGGAAACGCTCCCGGTGGATGGAGAAGAGCCTCTCGTCCTAGCGCAAGCCTCTGCGCTTTTTGTCTCCCCCAGATTTGCATCTGTAAGTGACTTTTTCTCTTACTGCTTGGATCATTGAGCCACAATACTGATATCCAAAAAAAGGTAATGGCGAAGCTGAATGCGACTTGAGACCTTTGCAAACGCAAACCAGAGCGCGACATTTCGATTCTACTTATACTGAAAATTTCAACAGTCGGATAGAATGCGATGGGGCGATTAGAGAGAAGACACGGCACCGAATTCAGAAGGGTTTTGCGAGAGAGATCGATGCACTGAGCTGAAAGCGCATGCTCAACCCGATCCGACTTAGACTATTCGAGCCAGTAGCCCTTCCACACTCTGTGGAACGGATTCTGAATACAGGCCATGAGCCCTCCTGGATGGATTGATAGATGGCTCTCATGAGGGTGGGCGCAGCAGAATAGCTCCCTCTCACGACTTGTAGCGTATGGCGAATACTACGCTATAGATAGCCCCGCGACCTGGCTTGAGCTGATAGATAACTTGCAAGTGAAAATTACGGCCGGTGAAGAGGGATATTGTCCAGCAGAACATTTAGTCAAGATTTCGAAATGCGCGACTCTAGTTGAGTACAGTTGTAATGTCATAGCCGTTCAAGGTGGCCCGGAGCGGTCCCTAGGTGAGACGGAGGAGGTTTCGGCACCGACGTGAAGCGCGGCGCGGCATCCGGGAACGGAGCGGGAGTCGGCACTCGGTCAGTCGGAGGCAATACCTCCCAATGGGCAGGAACCAGCCAGATTACAGGCCTCTGACGTGCTGGTCCCGCCAAGCGATGATCCACCTCTAGCCGATCTGACGCCATCGCTCGGCGCAGACTCGCAGTGTTCCGGTAAGAAAGTACTTGCATCATGTTGCGGATTCTATTGATTTTTTTTTCTGCTGTATCCTAGGTCATTGGATCATTCCCTGCGGTATCCGTAAGGCACTGAACCCAGGTGCGGAGAAGGCCAAAGCCAGACAAAGTACCTCTCTCATGAGGCCACTGTCCATTTTGTAGTGTTAGGGAGTTTTGGGTACATCGCCTGATGCTGACTTCTCCGTGATCTTAGCTCGTGTGGAGTGAAAAACGAGAGGGAAAAATGGAGGGGAGGAGGTGGGGTGAAAAGCATCTTAGTACCCTCCCTACTCGGTCCGTTGTCGTGAGAGTCGTGTATGCGAGCGCATCTGTGTGTATATATGTATGAGTGATTGTTGCCGCTGCGCCTGGTTTTAGTTCACACTTTCGTTCCTTCAACACCATTCTCCCCTTTAGTCCTTACCACCAGATACCCAATTGAATTCACAATGGCTACGTAAGTATGAGTCTGGAAATCTAGGCTTCCGTCATGACAGGACCAAAATTGCCCCTCCATGAATTTCCTTCTGCTATCCCACCGACCCCGCAGTCGTCGCACCTGCCTGCGGCGAATGCTCTGCAACTCTTCGCCTTCACGTCCGCAACTCGACAGCTGGCGGCATAACGAACAAATTGGCTGATTTTTGTCCTCCGATATCATAGCAACATTACATGGCATCCCTCACTCTCGCGCTCTGAGCGTAACCAGCTGCGCGGGCAGCGTGGTTTCACCCTCTGGCTCACAGGACTTTCCGCCTCTGGCAAGTCCACCGTAGCAACCGCTCTGGAACAGCACCTTTTGCACCTGGGAGTTGCCGCCTATCGTTTGGACGGTGACAATGTACGCTTCGGCCTCAACAAAGATCTTGGTTTCTCCGAGAAAGACCGTAATGAGAACATCCGTCGCATCGCTGAGGTATGGTCATTTACTCAACCCTTTGGGCTTGATCTTCCGTCCCAAGTACGACCACCGTCAGAGAGTACGCGACTAATGCCGCAGCAGGTCGCTAAGCTGTTTGCCGATTCTTCGACCATTGCCATTACCTCCTTCATCTCGCCGTACCGTGCAGACCGTCAAGTAGCTCGTGAGCTGCACAGCCAGACTGGCCAGAGCAGCGACGAAGCCATTCCATTCATCGAAGTCTTTGTCGATGTGCCTCTCGAGGTCGCTGAGCAGCGTGACCCCAAGGGTCTGTACAAGAAGGCTCGGGCGGGAGAGATCAAGGACTTCACCGGCATCTCAGCCCCTTACGAGGCACCCGAGAAGCCCGAAATTGTTATCAGGACCGACAAGTCGAGCGTCGAGGAATGTGTGGCACAAATTGCCGAGTGGCTGATCAAGGAGGGTCTCATCACTGCGAGTAAAACGGCCTGATGTGTATGGTCCTACAATTGCATGGGCGGCCGGTTCTCATCTTGTTTGAACTAGGAGTTACCTACTAGCTACAGCCCAGAGCTTTCTAACCACGGTCTAATGCCCCTCAAAAAAATACTACGCGTTTTCGGTGCAAGGTCGCGTCTGAAGCGCGGGACTGCATGCGCCCGCCATGCTGCGATTGTGTAGGTCTACGCAACTAAGAGTAGTCAAACTCGTAGTAAACGTAAGCTGTATACTCGTGTCCCTCGCCTCCGCCGAGACCAACAGCAGCCATCTCGGACGACAGTGCTGCGTCGTCTTTGGTAATTTTCCCGCGCTTGTCTCTGCCAAAGGCGTTGCCTCCTAGATACGAGTAATTAGAGTCAAGCGCTGTCTTGACCTTCTTGACCAGCTTCGAATTCGTCTGTCCGCCGCGTTAGCATCGTAAGCAATGACTTGAGCGAGAGAGATGTGTGCTAACCTTGACAAGAACACTGACATAGTCGAGCGGGAGTCCGTAGCGGAGAACAGCCTCGACAAACACGCGCAGTGCGAGCACATGCAGCCAGATCATGACGCTTTCGCTCCAGCCTGTCCGGCCGATTCTCAGAGCCTCTCCCCATGTCTTCTTCTCTTCACGAGCCACCCGGTCAAGCTCGCGTTGCTCTTCCTCCTTTCCGCCCTCCACGTACTTGTATTGACGCGGAGTCCATTTTTGCTCGCGACATTTCGCAAGGAACTCTGCACTGTGTTTTTTGAATGACGTAGCGGCGTACAAGGTGAACTCTTCGTCCGTCGCGACCTGCACAGCAGATCGGGGAACCACCATCGGTGCCAGTGTTTCGTAACTCTTCAAGAAGTCCTTCTTTGCATTGTTCGGCACAACAATAAGATGTGTCTCTAGGTATTCCGAGTCCTGGATGAGGAGGGTGGGATCGACAACGGGAGTGAGGGACTTTGTCGCAAGGTTGCCACTGTAATACCGCTGTCAGCTATCAAGTCGTCGTTGGGCTAGGAAAAACGATGGGCCTTGGAAACAATACGTACGTCTGCTTGCGCTGGAGAGTGGCAAAGTTTGTCTTGACTGAGTTATACTGGTTGAACTTGCTCTTCACATCGTTGTCGGTAGTGACGAGTTCCTGGCGCTTCATTAGTTTCCTGCGGGCCTACTCTATGGATGGCGACCCCGATCCGCGTCGAAAGCGAAACGGATGCAGCAAAGAAAAATCCCGCCGCGAAGCTGTTGGTTCCAGTACGCCCTCTCACTCCACGTACCTTTTGCAGTGTATCGACGAGTTCGCTCAAAGGTTTGTCGGCGCGGTATCGGACCTTGTTCCAGGAAAACGAGTTGACGTACTGGTCGGTGGGCTCTGAGGTACAACCGCCGTCAGTAATATGTACAAGAGATTTGTGGAACAGGCAGCAGCAACGAGGCGGTGCCCTAGACATCTCTCACTATCGTTGACCATCTTCTGCTGGGAGATCTTGTCCTCATCACCATCGAGGATTGACTTCAATGAGTCGGCAACCTTTGCAACGACAGCCTGGCAGGTGGACTCGAGCTTGGCAAGGTCATCGGCTTGCTGAACCAAGGCATCCAGGGTGCCGATTTTGAAATCGGGGATGTTGAAGGGGCGAACACTACCATTCTCGGGCGAAATGGTAGCGCTTAACGAGGATAGGGCATCGTCTTTATCTCCAGAGTCAAAGATGCCGAGAGGCAGTGAGACGAGGGCGTATTTGGTAGACATGCTTCTTGGACTGGATCGGACGCCGGCTAGCTATCCATGCGGCTATGTCAGAGCCTCGGAAGGTCTAGGAAAGTAAGGTGAGGTAAGGTTACGGTAAGTGAAGTCGAGAGAGCTATCGGAAGGTAGGCGGAGTTAGTTAGGCGTCGGTCGATGCAATTGAGAGAAGATGAGATGTTGTCACTGACCTGGAGGCTGGGGTTTTGAGCAACACCCGCTAGTAAGCAATGACTTTGCGAACTCCAGTCAAGAAATCGCACATGAGTAGGTAGCTGAGATGGTGTCAATCGAGGGCCGGAGCGGATTGAAATGCAGCAGTGCCCAGTAGTACGGAGTAGAGGAGATAGAGGTTACCTTAGGTGCTAAGCTGAGGCCAGCCTACGGGCCTGCTCCATGTAGCCCCCTACCTGCGCAACGGTGAATCGCGAACGAGGTACTCACAACTTTGCCAGTGTTCAAGTACAGATTTGGTGTACAAAGGTGGAAGAGGTACGTGGATATGGCATCAGCGGTTAGGTACCTGGAAAGCGGGCGACCTAGCGGGGCGCAGTAGCCGGTTACCTCAAAGCTGTGTGGTGGTTCGTCATTCACTCGGCGATAGCCTGAGAGGTAGCCAGCGGGTCTGCTGCCATCTAATAAGGTGCCAGCCCACTCCGTAAGACCTTCCTGCTATACATGGAAAGCTGTTAAGATCAAGCTTGATCTCTCCACTCGACATCCCAATGCTGTCCAACGCTGCTCACGCCATACCTCCCCAACTTCGACAGCCACTGCGCATTTGCAAAGCGTAAGATTTGTCCAGACATCGCTCCGCGGTTCTTGGTTTCTTCCCTATCTTTCCTTTCAGTATTTCGCCCATCGCGAATGCGCATCGCCAGATTTCGCTGTCGCTATTTCATTGTATAGTTCCAAACGATCAAGGGTTTTCGCTTTGCTACAATCTAAGTCGTTACCTTGGCCGAATCTAACAACGATGACGACCAGCTGGCGTCGTTGCATTATCAAAAAGAGAAGCTGACTCGGCAAGTCATCACATGCGGTCGAGTCGCCTTGGTGATCCATCCGGGGTTTCGTGATGCCCTCTTGCATTCGCGGGTTTTAGCATACGTATTTTTTGCCATCCGGATTAAGGACCTAGCAACAGTCCTCGCCGGGGCAGAAACCTCGAAAGGCACCGCTTTGCTCCAATCTTTCTTGGAGGGACGATGCTGAATTTGTGACGCGACTGTCATCCACAGCCATGGCTACAACCGCAAGTAAGTAAAAAGCACAATGCACTTTGTTTTTTGCGCCCCGACTAATCGTCTTCTGCAAAGTATCTCCTCAATCTTCAAACCCTGCGCGACGACCTACACCGCTTGCTGATGCCTCTATCGCTACCGCTACCGGCACTGGCACTGGCACCGCTGTTGGCACTGGTACCGATAGTAGCGCTCGCAACGGTTCTGCAGTACAAACCCCTGTACTGAGCGTTACGAGTGAAGGAGGTTTGTAGGCTATTCTTATGTCTTTAATGCTACTGCTCGTTGAATGGCCAGGCAGGAACACTGAAAAGGCGTTGCTGACTTTCGAGCTGTAGGCGCGGCGAATGGATTCGGTGTCTTGCAACACACTGGCCCCCCAGTACAGGATGATATTCCGGGCCTTTATAGAGATGGACGTGTACGTAACCCTGTGCCTAGTAAGCTGAAGGGCAAAACCGACGCGACGAAAGGGAACTTCGGAGTTATGCACATAGACCTCACTACTACCAACGAAAGTCGGGAGCGTGATGCAGCAGCCAAACGCACGAGTGAGGGAACGCAGCTTGCGGCCAGACTGGCCCAGACAGACCGTTACATTCCCATCAGACGGAGCAAATTTATCTATCGACCAGAAGTCCATGCCTCGAACAGTCCACCGCAGCTCAACGCACCGCATCCCAGCGCACCGCAGCCGAACGCACCGCAGCTGAACGCACCGCAGCTGAACGCACCGCAGCTGAACGCACCGCAGCTGAACGCACCACAACTCAACAAACCGCAGCAAAACGCATCGGGACTCGATAAACCGCAACTGAATAAACCGCAACCTAGTACACCGCAGCTCAATGCTCCGCAGCCAACACCGCTACTCAATAAACCGTGGCCCCCTAAAACGCCGCTCACCACACCGCAACGAAATGCCCCCCAGCTCAACCGACCCCAGCTGAACACGCCATATATTCGGGAGACTGTTGGAGACACGGCGCAGGTGCGGAGGAGGGCCTCGACACTTACGACCGTGGAGACAATAGCCGAACAAGCTCGACTCTTGACTCTGTTGCGAAGCCTAGACCCTGATCTGGTTGTTGATCAGCTTTGCAAGGGTCTGAAATTCTTTGGAGGGATTACCAATGAGCGCACATCACCCGGCGCATCTTTTCCCATCAGCGCTGAGGCGAATGGTTCTGGATCCCTCTTTGTTGGCTGGCTGGCAGAGATCTTTCCAGCTCTAGACCAAGGGGTAATGCCGAGCGCACACCAAACGAAGCTGAGACGACCACGTGGTCGTCCCAAAGGAAGTAGGAATGCGAAGGGAAAACAAGCTGGCCAAAGTGGGCAACGACTCGTTTCAAGAGCTCATGCAGCAGAAGCAACAACGGACAACAGTGCAGGTGATGACGCGGTGGATGCTAGTTGGGTTGACATTGATGACACCATTGCAGATACTGACAGAGAGCGTTTGCAAGTGGACGCCGAGCGGGTGGTTGAAACTCCAGCTTTCAGTCAGGTAGTCTCCGGTCCAGGTGCTTCCGGTGGAATGCCGGAATCTGGCTCCGCCCAGACCTCGACAACTACGCCTGCCCCCAAGCGGAGAGGGAGACCTAAAGGCTCGAAAAATCGACCGAAAGATACGGTGCCCTCGGCCAACGATGCTCATGAGGATACGAATGGTGTATCCGGGACCCCAGTGATGATTCAGCCAACAGCAGTTAACCCTCCCGAATCCTCAAGCACGACTGGGGGTCTTGACGAGCTCGGATCGCCGCTTGTCAAGAAGCGGAAAGGAGGCCCTGGCCGTCCTAAGGGATCCAAGAATCGACCGAAAGGATCAGCAAATGTCCACGGCTCTCAATCTCAACAAACACCACCTAAATCGGATGCAAACGACCAACGAAGCGGGCCACAACCTGCCGCTGCGGGTGATTTAGCTCTGCCGGCGCCTGCTGGTGGTTCCACATCCTCTACCCGAGAACAACAATACGAGCAGCGACCGGCCATTCCGGTAAATGTTGCTTCTCAGTTCGGA